CAAAGTAATAACTACTTCTCATTATATCCAGGGAAAGTTTTTCTGACCACAGGACAAAAGAATTACCGACTGTGACGAACCTCACTGTGGTCCCCTCTTATGCTATAGCCACATAACTTCAGCCTACACTCACTCACTTGAATCCCCTCTGTGCCTATTTTGGTCCATCCCATTCTGGTAACGCACATGAGACAACAAGACCCCCCTCCCCCCTCCCCTCTCCTCCCCCCTCCCCTCCCTCTGCTATCAGTGCTGTTCCCAGTGTTGTCTGCCTTCGCGCTGTTCAGGCCCTGTCTGATGTCACAACAGGACTGAGACTGAGATGTGTTGGATAATAGAGCGATGGCGGCTCTAGATAGCTCGTGTTTTGGCAAATGTTGGAACAAACTAATCTCAGAAATGTGTGCAAGCTTTTGTCATTATAGCGTGAGCTGTGGGGCTATAGCAAATAACAACATATATAAAAAATAGTGCAGATGTATTTTGGTCATTTTAAGTCATCAAAATGTGTCCAAACTAAAAGCCAGAGAATTACTGGCTTGTAAAGTTTGGTGTGAAAGGAGAAGATTTTAAAACTAACCATTGAGTGATAACAAAGCGTATATGAAGTGCCTCGCATGTTGTACTCGTAATGGATGTCAATTTAGTTTATTTAAAAAAAAAAAACAGCATTATGCACATCGCCAGATCAACTACTGCCATGTCCTTCCTATGTCCCACATTTACTTGTATGTGCTTTAGAATAAAAAATAATAAAAAAACCGATTCAAATATATGTTTAAATTTCCAAAGTTTAATAAAACATAGAATTTTGACGTTACAATTTTTTTTTCCGATTAGTAAAAAAAAAAACCTATACATGTATTTTGGTTTTAAACACAATTCATCTTCAATAAATGAAATGCACAAATAGTGTTGTAATTCTGTTATAATGCATCCGACAGATCAGTGAGTGGATGCAAAATATCTTCCTCCAGCTAAACGCAGACAAGACTGAAATCATTGTCTTTGGTCCCCAGAAACAAAGCTTCAGTCTCTCTCACTAAAACCCTCAGAGAAGGTTAGAAATCTAGGGGTAATACTGGACTCAGACCTAAATTTCAATAGCCACATTAAATCAGTAACATTAGCAGCTTTTTACCATCTAAAAAACATTGCCAGGATCAAAAACATAGTGTCTAAAGCAGACTTGGAGATTCTTATCCATGCATTTGTCTCCAGTAGGTTAGACTACTGCAATGGCCTGCTCACAGGTCTGTCCAAACAGGCTGTAAAACAGCTGCAGTACATTCAAAATGCAGCAGCTCGAGTCCTGACTAGAACCAGGAAGTACGACCATATTAGTCCGGTCCTCAGGTCTCTGCACTGGCTTCCTGTGGCTCAGAGAATAGACTTTAAAACAGCTCTGCTTGTTACAAGTCTCTCCATGGCCTCACACCAAAATATATTAGTGACATGTTAGTCCCATATGAACCAGCCCGGACTCTGAGGAGCACAGGGACTGGACTCCTGTTAGTGCCCAGAGTCAGAACTAAACATGGGGAGGCTGCTTTTCAGTTCATGCTTCTAAAATCTGGAACAGTCTCCCTGAAAATGTGAGAGAGGCGTCTACTTTGAAAATGTTTAAATCCAGGTTTAAGACTCTTCTGTTTGCCTGTGCATACAACTGAAGGATTTTAGCTAATTTCTTAATGCACTGTGGTTATTTATTTTTTAATTCCTTCTGTCATTTTAAAGTTTTTATGGTTTTAATTTATGTGTGTTTTTAATGTTCTAATTGTGATTCTGGTGTTTGTTTTATGTGATGATTTGTGATGTGGACTGTGATGCCCTTTGTGTTGCACATGTATGAAAGGTGCTCAACAAATAAACTTTGATAATGTTAGATAAGGTAACAAAAACGTTTACTGAATCGTTTAGAAATATATCGTATTGAATGTAATCTTCTGTATGTTATTTTGTATTGTATCCCAGGCTGTGGAAAAGACACAGCCCTAAGCTACAGCAGATATTTCAGACAGATTTCAGCATGATTGGTCAAAGGGGCTGGTGCTTTGACTGCCACCCCCGACCCAGAAATGGAATAAGGGGAAGAAGACGGATGGATGGTCAATGATGAGGGAACACATGTTACCAAGAGTGGATTCTAAACACTGGAAATGTACATGAGTGTCCATACAGCTCTAGACATATCTGTGGTCTGTGCATAATGTGACAGCTGCTTTGACTGCGGTGGTCGTGTGTCAGCAAATACTTGAATTATGAAAAGTACAGTACGCAAGCTTTACTTCAAACCAACCCTGTCATTTGGTTTAGTTTCTATCATTTACTTGCATTCGTGTTAAGTGCTTTGCCAATACATTAATAGAATAGAATTTTTATGACGCACAGTCTTAGCTCCAACTAACCTGGAGCTAAGACCGTGTTCCAGTTTTGACGTATCGTGTTACTATTTTTGTGGTTGGCCTAAAATATTTTGAGTAGCAAAGGCAGCACAGACCACACTGTTGTTGTTGGGGTGCGCGGTGGATTTGGACTCGCCAGTTTTTAGATAATGTGCGTATCTTTCATAGAAAAATAAATGCGGTCCGTGAGAGCTCGACCACTGTTTGGTTTTGACAAAAATATCTGCTGTACATAATCATTTTGTCACATGCAAAATAACCTCCACACATTAGTAGGTTTCAGGCACAGTCTCCTCATTGAGTCACGGTGTTCTGCAAATAGACATTATCTGCGACCTGAGCAAACATTTAGTCAGCGTTAGGGCTGGCGGTTGATGAGATCCAGGTCAGGGATCCCGCGGCTACATCCGGTTTTATCTTGTGATCTGTTTAATCAGTTTGTGGCTTCTTCAGCTCCAGGAAGTCAGATCCTCCATGTTTAGTTTGAGAGGGATCACCAGCGATAACATGAACTTAGCCAAAAGTTACAGGCCCCACTGTCTGTGTTTCTTTAATTAATTTAGTTATTTGCGCACACAAAAAAGTCCTACTAATAGCTTAGGTTATTGTAATGTCTTTAGTGTGTTATTAGTGCATTCTTTTAAAAAACAAATATTGTGTTCCCTGCTACTTTCTACTTGTGTTGTCAGCTCTTTTTTTTCAATTTCTTTCACATGATCCATTGTTGGGTCGCGGGGGCAGTGGTCTGAGCAGAGTCACCCAGGCTTCCTTATCCACACACACCTCCTCTAGCACATCCCCAAGACAGCTCAGTCCCTCCAACTTGTCCTGGGTCTTCCTCCCGGTGCGACATGCATGGTACACACCCCCAGGGAGGCGTCCAGGAGGCATCCCAATCAGAGCCACTCCAACTGGCTCCTATCGAAGTGGAAAAGCAGCGGCTCTACTCAGAGCTCCTCACCCTATCTCTAAAGAAGCACCCAGACACTCAGTGGAGGAAGCTCATTTTGGAAGCTCTGGTATCCATGAGCTTATCCTTTTGGCCATTACCCAAAGCTCATGACCAGAGGTGAGGGAGGGGAGATTGATCAGTAAATCGAGAGCTTTGAATGCAGACGCTGCTCTCTCTTCACTGCACACACATGCATTAATCCATGAAAATTATTGCGTGTTCATATATAATCAGTAGTTCCTTTCACTTTATTTTCTATGTATTATTTTGTAGAACTATCTTTCAAGCAGGGCCACAATAGAAGAAATGTAGCTATCATTGTGATGCATTGCAGAAATTGTTCACATGAAACCATAATTGAGGTAAACCATCTTTATTTATCATCATCTTCATTCCAATATCTGATCTAGAGCATGAACTTTAAATAATTATTAAGAGTAAAAGATTGTGGATATAGTCGGTGGCTCTGCAGAGCCAACTGAGGTGGCCAAGGCTTCTGTTTAAGAAGCCTCCAGGAGCGCACATATGCCACTGGGATGTGGCCCCAGGGAAGACCCAGGACACACTGGGGAACTCTCAGCTCAGAGACTCCTCCTGGTGAGTTGGGAAAAGTGTGCATGGAGATGGGTGTCTTGCCAACTCTGGTCAGACTGAGAAAACGAGCTCTACTGGAGGAAAAGCTGCTTTCTCCTGTGATGCTCCCTGTAAATGTCCTCTGATCCTGAGCTCAAGAGTATTTGTTAAATGTCTTGTCATCATTTGTTTTTCTGCACATTGCAAATTAAGAGAACCTTTATTCGTCCCACTGTGGGAAATTTGGTATATATACATTTTCATTTATGGATATATAGCACATTTTTAATGAGCAGAGTCTTGGTGTTGAGACTTGGTGTTAACAGGTGTGAAAATGGAAAGATAGTCTTAATGTTTAAAAATGTTTATTGTTTGTCCTCGTTAGGTCCAGCCAAAAGAGTCCCCTAAAAGTCCTAAATTTAATAAAGATATATAATTTTTGTAAAGTGCAGACTGTAGAATCACTGCTTTTAATTTTTGCTCTATCTTTTGTGTTCTGTTTATTTTGGTGTTGCCTAATTACTGTCATCTGCTATAAACCTATAAAAGCAGGCCACCAACTAAAATATGTGAATAAATCTGCACCTGGGTCTGCAATGGAAGCTGCCTCCGTTCAACTTTGTTCTTCCAACATCTGTAAAAGTGCCATCCTGACATGACAAGTGACACATTTTTCTTTCCCTGATTCACAAACAAGTTTTATTTCCATGATCTCATTGCTCATTTTCATTGGTCTCCTGACACTGAAGGAGAAAGCAGCATGTGGCACCATTTATACCTTGTTGACTCCTTCTATTCAACAGCTACATTTCGGTGCAATTACAATAATGAAAGTAAAAAACGTAATAACAACAGTTGCTGCTGTAAATAGAGCTAGTGGGACGAGTACGCAAAGACTATGTAATGATGATGATGATGCACAAATGCCACCGTGCCATTTGTCATGTTTTCATGTGTTGGCCCAGTGCAATTACAGGCTGTCAGCTGGAGGCCTGTGGGAAGAGCGGGTCTGGGCCAGTGCATGCCACAGAGAGTGCGAGTGACACATGTTCCACAGTGAGGCCCAACACATGGCGCCCCCAAAGAGAGATAAAGACAGAGGAGGCGTGGAGGACCAGGCCTGGGAGCGGACGGAGGAGGCTGCGACAGTTGAGACGTCGGCGGGACAGAGCGGTGCTGGAGAGAAGCTGCAGGACAGGCTCGGGGATATCAGCTATCGGTGAGAAGCCATAGCCCCTCCGCCTTCATCTGTCCTGGCACTGGCCCGTCCAATGAATCCTAAATATAACCTGTGGAGAGATGGGGGAATCAGGTGGAGTCTCTTCTGGACAGGGGCCAGTTTTGAAGGGTGTGTGTATGTGTTAATGTGGAGATGTGTGTGCATGCGTTTACAAGGCTGCAAAGTTGGCGTATACTGTGAATGTCTATTGAAGATAAGGACTGGTGTCAAATGTAGGGTCTGCGAGGCTAATTTGGCTGTTTTGACCATTACTAGTGTCCCGACAAATTATTATCATTACTGTTAACTTGCAGCATTGATTGATTTAAGCTGCCATGGCATGTTAAACATAATTTTAAAAGGTCATTTTCTCAATAAAAAAGACAATAGATTACAAACATGTGAAACTGGAACATACATATATGTTTAAACGTGAACATTAATCAACATTCAATTCTAATGTCTTTCTTGGTATTTAACTTTATACTCACGTGCAGTGAGATGAAGAACCCAAAATGCAGAAATGCAAAAATAATGATTTAATGACAAAGATAAACAAAAGTCTAATGTAAAAAACAAAATCATGGGCAATTATGGGCAATATCCTTCGCCATTGTCCGCTTAGATGCAGGCTACGGCGAAGTGTGGATCAGGGGCGCAAAGGAGGCGGGGCCAAAGACCTCCCTGGAGAATTGGGACACCCTGTCACTCCCGGATTCGTCCGGAAGTTCAGTTTGCGCATGTCAAAAAGTTTAATATGTCCTTAAGTGGTGACTGGTTAAGTTTAGGCGTCTGAGTAAGATGGTTAAGTTTAGGGTTAAGGCTGGGTTGGGGTTATTTTATGGGAATGGCTGGTTAAGTTTAGGCATGAATAGGTAGTTTTTTATATTTACTTCCGCTTCCGTCCAGATTCCGTGACGTAATCTACTGCTGCGTATGCTCATTGGATCAAACTGAACTTCCGGACGAATCCGGTTTCCGGGACGAATACGGGAGTGACACACCATACCAAGCCCCGGCGATCCAAGATGGCGCCATATTCAAATGAATGGTTTGTGCTCAATGGCGCTTTGTGCCGGCACGGTCGCTGATATATTAGCGGAACTCGCCTGGAACTCGCAAAGATCCATGGGAAACTCGCCTGTATTTGGGCATCAGCTGGTCCTCCCGGTTCTGCGCAGCGGATGAACACCCATGGTGCGTTGCGCGAAATACGCGTGTGTGAGTCTCACACTCTTGTTACCATGGCGCCGCATGAACATGCTGCGGCTTTTCTCTCTCTTGACAAGGTGACGTTTCTACCCTTTTCTACCCTTTTCTGCAAACTGCATTTGCAGTTTTTGTGATCCGCATTGTTTTGCAAGATTTTGTTGTAAATCTTTGCCATGTTTTTGTGGAGTTCAGCGGATTTTTTACTGCCAAAGCTCTTTGCTAGCAATAAACAGAGGATGTGTTTTTAAAAGTAAACACACAGTTAGCATCTGAGCTAAAGGCTTTTTGAGCAGTATTTAAGACCTACAGTACAAATCCAGAGATATCATCTTCTGAAGCGCTGACAGGTCACCGAGGGCCCCACGCATCTGCAGCACAGTGGAGGCGTCACAAGAGGCGCTACAGGAGTCCCGGCCTCCGTTGTGGGCAACTTCTACAGAGGGACTGTAGAGAGCATCCTGATCCCAGTGCCACCCAGCTCCATCACTGGGTGGCACGGCACCAGCACTGCCTCCTGCCGAAGGAGCCTCCAGCGCATCGTGAGAGCAGCAGAGAAGATCTGTGGAGCCCCTCTCCCCACCATTAAGGACATGTACTCCACCCGTCTCACCCGCAAAGCCGTCAGAATCACCAGGGACCCTACGCACCCATCACACAGGCTCTTCAGGGTAATGCCTTCAGGGAGGAGACTGCAGAATTTACGGAACAGTTCCAGTCGACTTAAAAACAGTTTAATTCACAAGGCCATCAGGAAGCTGAACTCCCTGCCCTCCCTCCCACCCCTCTTCCCCCACCCCCCGCTCCACAATCAAGGATGAGAGAAATATAATTTCAAACCATTCACTTGGTTTGACAAATAAAAATCTTGAATCTTGAATCTTGAATCTTGAATCATGCACGTGCACAGAGGGGCTCGGCCGCGCTCTGACCAATCAGAGCTGCTCATCAGAGCTGCTCATCAGAGCTGCTCATCAGAGCTGCTCATCAGAGCGTAAATGCTAGTATTGGGACAGGGCCATAGACACAGGTAGACACAGGTGAAACACATCAAGCCGAGGCAGACTATCAACACAGGGGAACGAGAGGAAGTAAAAATAAAACCAAACCAAAATAAAACCAAAGTACAAAATAAAATCCACATCATGACATTAATAAAATATCGAGAAAGACTTCATATGAGATAATATTGCATTTCAGAAAAGAGGTTTTGTACAAAATATTAACAACGCTCAGTCTGTCCTTCTGATATCGTCAGGATTTCTGTATTCAGCCTCTAAGTCCAAACGAGAACAAAAATCACAGACAGACACCACAAAACATGATTCACATAAAACTAACAATACAGACATGCTTTAAAGACAGATATAGCAGTGTTTCCATAAAGGAACCATGTTATGTTTTAAGTACAAAAAAAGTAACAACACCATAAATTCATCAAAGCAAATCGTTCTAGAATAAAGAACATGAACAAATGTTAAAGAATTCTTTTTACATTTCACAATAATTAAATGTTCTCTGATACAATTTCCAGAGAGTAGTCTGTAATATCTTGTGGACCGCCGGAAAGTTCTGTCTAAACCCAACCATTACTTTTCACTGTCTTGTGGTCAACAAACCGTCCAACAACACACGACTAAAACAATATCAACTCTCTGCAGGGGAACATTCATTTGAGTTGGAATTGTATTACTGCAAATCTGCGGTAATAACAGTCATAAATATTCCTTTCCAAAAAACATGATTGGTAGATTAAGATTAAGACATCCTTTATTCGTCCCACAGTAGGGAAATTTCACTGTTGCATCACAAGTTATAGAAAAGTAGGAATGAGGAGACCACGGCACAAGTTAAGTGAACAATAGCTCTATACTAATTAAAACAAAACAAAATCTCATAGCGACAGTAGCTCAGTTGGGGGCGACAGTAGCTCAGTTGGTAGAGCATTAGCCTTTGGGTCTGAAGGTTGTGGGTTCAAGCCCACCATAAGACCTACTTCACGACTCCCACTGATGACTGCTGTCGTTGTGTCCTTGGGCAAGACACTTAACCCCACTTTTCCTGAAGCTCCCACTGAAAGATCTCAGCTCCTGTGGACTCACCACCTGCAGGAGGATCAGTGAGGGGCTGGTGCTCTGTGTACTGGGTGCAGCTCTGACTGCCACCCCCCCGACCCAGAAATGGATTAAGGGGAAGAAAATGGATGGATGGATGGAAAATCTCATAGCATCAAAGAACAAGTGTATAATCTCTATCTTGAACATATTAAAAACAAAGAATTTTTACATTTTTACATTTAGCAAAAAAAGAAGTAAGTATAAAGTAATTTGATTGATTGTAATCATTATTAACATAAGGGAAATAGACAGGGGCTGGTGCTCTGTGTACTGGGTGCAGCTGCGACTGCCACCCCCCCGACCCAGAAATGGATTAAGGGGAAGAAAATGGATGGATGGATGGATGGATGGCAAATAGATAACTATACAAGAGATCTGGCCTTCTGTAAGTCACAAGGACTCTGTGTATCTGCTATGATTGTGTGTCTGCTATGATTGTGTATCCGTGCTTTGACTCTAATATGTTCTAATTGTCTCTTGATGTGATACGTATGAATCCTGACTTTGTTATGTCTGAGAAACCTGAAAGAAACTGAGATTAAACTTCCCGGTGGCTCTGGTGCGTAAAGATCCCGTCTCTGTGAGGTGGATTTTCGACAAACATTATCATACTAAAAACGTCACCGCTCTTGGTCACCTTTTGAACACTTATAACTTGGCGTGCGTGTTGCTACGAGGCTTCATGAACGAGGTGTAAGCGTAAACCTGCGCTAACACGAGACAGCTAATGGGCTCATCCATCACACAGGAAATGAGACAGGCTTTCTCCCCTCACTCAGACCCCAGCCTACCACCCCCTCAAATTAGGTCCAAGCAGGCAATCCTCTCTGTATTATTCTTAGCAAAACAAGGGGGCCCTTCTTAGTCCACCTAATTTATCCAGTGTCTCATTTCGGAATAAAAAAAGTCCTCCAAAAATGAATTGTGAGGAGTGAGAAGGTCGCTGTGGTTTGAAGGCTCCAAACCTCAGCAGCCGGTTTTCAGAGGGCTGAGGCCAAAGGGTCCAGAGGAGGCCCATTCACTCCCAACTTGGTCAGGGTTTTGACATGGACGAAAACACATATCCATCAGGAGCAACGTTTACACAACCCAGGCATTCCTACACTTTGTAATGTGCACGCTACCCTTTTAGAAGACGCATTGTTGTGTGACTTTTGGTGGATTCCCATGAAGGGGATGTGAGAGACTTATTTGCACCTTATACTGTTTAGAGTACCTCCTAGTTAATGTGCTATTGAAATAGAACTGACTACAAAGAGTGAGTGTTTGTGAGAATTTCTGTAGACCATTGGCTCCTGACTGTACTTAAAGCTTTAATGTTCACTCCTTGAGGAAAACAATGTATTATTTAATTTCATTTACTGAGGTGTAGGAGCACTAATAACACTTTTGTTCTAATTATAGGCCTTTACCAAAAGCTTGAGATGCAGTTTGATGGTAAAAGTTCCTAAGACCAAGTGATAGAGATGCCCCAATGAGGTAGATTTCAGTTCCAAGCTTCAAGTAGATTACTCAAAAAGTGATCCTCCAAATGGTAGAGGAAACCATTAAAGGGTTAAAGTCCCTGTAGAGACATTTGTTCTTTGCATTTGACCCGAGATAGAGGTACTTGCTGTAACATTATAGAGCTGAGCTTGGCAGAATTTATATTATTCTTTTCAATTTTATGGAGAA